GAAGCGGTATATAAGTCTAACTGCTATTGCTATTGCTATTAACCTTGGAGAGATTTCTCTCTGATTCTTTCAGCCCAGCCCTGTCTGTTTAGCTTATGACTTGGTGTACATAACAGTAAACTAGGTGGAGTTTCAATCTGTTCTAGCAAGTCTCTTATTTAGATTTATAGCTAGAGGGCGTGACAGCAATCCCACAGCAAATAGCTCATTGCCAACACCATCACCATTGTTTTAAACCAGGAGTTTTTTTAATAGAAATATGAGCTTCACTGTTTTCCCGTACGGGCCCCTTCCCTTGTGCTTTCATTCTTTTCCAGACCACAGAAGCAGAGTTGCGTCAAGGTGACACTGATTAAATTCTGTGCAAACCCTACTGGTGCCCTCTTTGTGGTTGCTAAATCCAGAGCTGTTATCTCATGATTGATGTTGTCCTTGCGGCTGGCTGACCGGGCTGGACCAATAATAATCAGTCCTCCTTTCTATTTTTTCCAAAGCAAAATAATCCGCCAGAGTGCTGAGGAGCAAGATAAATGGTGATACTTGCCTCCTTGAATGATTTCAGCCTCTCCAGAGTTTTCTGCCGCTCTTCCTTTATCCAGGCTTTTTTCTTTTTCTCGTCTTCTTTTCTCTTCTCTCTTTTCTGCAGTTTGAATGACAACCTTTTAATGCACACACATAGGTACTCTTATTTCCAGTGCAACTAAGTAGCTTTGAAGAGTGCAGAATGGCTGGGGGGGCCTGATAACAGATTGCCTAAATCAGGGGTCGGCAACCTTAAACACTCAAAGAGCCACAAAGGTCCTAACCTGAAGCCCCCTGTTCAATTCTGGAGCTGACCAGAAGTCCGTTTCCCCCATGATAGAGTCTCCTCCTAGCATGGCGTCCTTTTTCCTCTGCCAACCGGAAGTCTGGTTCTCACACCATAGAGTCTCCTCCTAGCACGGTGTCCTTTTTCCCCTACCAGTCCTAACCGAAAACCCTAACCCTATCAATTGTGGAACTGACCGGCGACAGGGAGCTGCAGCAGAGGGATGAAAAAGCCACATGCGGCTCCTGAGCCATGGGGGAGAGGAGAGGAGAGAATAGAATAGAATAGAAGAGAAGAGAAGAGAAGAGAAGAGAAGAGAAGAGAAGAGAAGAGAAGAGAAGAG